TCCAGAGAGTGGCTTCTTTGGGATGTTTTGAAAATGCACCACTTCATTCAACTTGGATTCACCGATAATTTGGAGTTAAAAGAAGACAGTAATAGAAACCGGCTGAACACAGTCTGTTGGTTTGGAGAACTGAGACAAGTAATCGGCAGACTATCGTCTGAGTTATCTGAGTTACTTTTTCAATACGTTTGCCGAACAAACACTGGGAAAGCAATATCGCGAAGATCGATATAATGCGGGAAAAGGTCAATCTAAAAAGGTATCTTGTTCTATGTCTTGCAACTGCTATCTTACTTCAAAACGCTTTCATGTGTTGTGTCAGGAGAGTAAAGTATATACTTCATTTCACTCGAGCTGGCTGTGTTTTTTCCTATGTTTATTTTTGTGGTGTCGCATGTCGTGGCTTTAATTTTGCTCATGAGCTTTTGTGTACAACACGTGTTAGACAACCGAAGGATTTACGTCGAAACAAATCAATATTAATCATTTTACCGACCCAGGGTAAAAAACATATATTACAAGGTTTGTCCAGGAGAAGTGACAGTCTTATACACCTCCATGGGCTTCCATGCATGGCAACTTTATACAGCACTGAGTGAATCAAATTCCAGTTCAGTTCTCTCTGTATATCAACCCTAACTGAAACTTGAACCCCGGTTTCCCAACTCTAATCATAAAACTTCTGGGTCATTTGGTGTTTATGGGGGCCATTCAGTGTTCTCATAGTGCTAAAAGGGTTTATCTCCTAAAGATTTCAGGTATCATCTCCTTACTATAAAAATCATCATCAGTACCTCAAAGAGAGAGTTTTCAATAATTTTGCTTTCAGACTCAGAAAATCATTGATACCTGAAAAATGTTGATTGTGTAGTGACCAATCACCATAATGTCCAGTACAGTCGTGCATGACCAAACCTCAAAACCACAAAGTAATTACCATTGCTGTTTGAGGTTTTGTTTTCTTACCCCTTATTAGCTTTTTCTTTGCAATGTAATAGCATTCCTTAATATTTGTGGTATTCATGGTTTTGTTACTTTTACAATATAGGTGAGCTCTTATCACCTCTGTTGTAGGGGTATAAACAGTTATATGTACTTTTGATTACCGGTTACTGATAAAAAGTGTTTCCCAGGACACTAGTTTAGTAGGAAGCGATGGTAATTATGCAAATGCATCCAGAGAGAAACCTGTTTAAGTATCACTTATGAGCTCATGGGTTACACATCTTTGTAAGGGGTTTTAAGGTTTTTTTTCTTAGGGGAGGGCTTACAGCCAGGCGGACATTTTTTCTTGTTCACTGGTAAATGGGCCTATAACTGGGGGGCGTATAAGTTGGGGGGGGAGGCTTTAAGCAGTAGTTTATGGTAGCTTGTGCCAGACATTCAGGTATTGGGGAAGGTGCAAAGAGTCTGAGAACAAAACTAAAAAAAATCTGCTTTTTTTCTAATGCTCTACTTCTCACTATCTGAACTCCTAGAACGGGTTATCATAAACTATATAGCTGTACTTTCTTATCTGGAACAGTGAAATGTAAAGTGATATATGCACTGTATATAGACTGCATGCTTCAAGAGATCCCCCGTGAAGAAGTACACTTTGAGTAACACACACGCATCTTCTTGCGTAGCTGCTCTCATCATGTTTTGAGACTGTAGTGCAAGACCTGCAAGGTTTGAAATTGGGGATAGAACTTTGGATCAGGCCTGAAATAGGATAGTGAAAATCATATAGTTTGGTCAAAATTTGGCAAGGCAAGAAGCATACTGCGAGGTGAGCCTGAACTGATTTTTCGCGGATAGTGCCCCACCCCCAATCCCCACCCTCTGCAGTTGTATTGAACCTGAATGTGGTGCTTTATAGAGTTAAAGTACAATATCTGCTCACAGGTTTTGATAATGTATAATTTTTTAGTTCCCTGAAAATTCATTATTTTGTGTTATAACATGAGGCCTCCAACTACGAAAAAGGTTTAACCAGAACTGAATCATTGACCAGTAGAAGCAAGTTTTAATTTGGCTTATCATTATTTGTTAATAACCAAGTAAACTAAGATGCCCTATGCTTCAGTAAGCCGATGCTGTGTGCAATCTCAAGGAGGGGTGGAGAGCAGGTGTGGTTAGGATTGGCGAGTAAACTATGATATTACTGTTGATCAAGCTATAATGTTATCCACCCTATCAAAGGTGACATACTGCAAAATCCGGTTGTTATCATGAACAACCACTTACCCCTGTATGATGCAAAATAGACTAGGCTGTTGTTCATCTATCATTTTATTTATTAACACCTCAGTTGTCTCTAACATCGTCAAAAAATCTAGACCAGTTTTCACATAATGTATGCCTAATTATGAACAGTTAAGTTTNTTTGAAATTGGGGATAGAACTTTGGATCAGGCCTGAAATAGGATAGTGAAAATCATATAGTTTGGTCAAAATTTGGCAAGGCAAGAAGCATACTGCGAGGTGAGCCTGAACTGATTTTTCGCGGATAGTGCCCCACCCCCAATCCCCACCCTCTGCAGTTGTATTGAACCTGAATGTGGTGCTTTATAGAGTTAAAGTACAATATCTGCTCACAGGTTTTGATAATGTATAATTTTTTAGTTCCCTGAAAATTCATTATTTTGTGTTATAACATGAGGCCTCCAACTACGAAAAAGGTTTAACCAGAACTGAATCATTGACCAGTAGAAGCAAGTTTTAATTTGGCTTATCATTATTTGTTAATAACCAAGTAAACTAAGATGCCCTATGCTTCAGTAAGCCGATGCTGTGTGCAATCTCAAGGAGGGGTGGAGAGCAGGTGTGGTTAGGATTGGCGAGTAAACTATGATATTACTGTTGATCAAGCTATAATGTTATCCACCCTATCAAAGGTGACATACTGCAAAATCCGGTTGTTATCATGAACAACCACTTACCCCTGTATGATGCAAAATAGACTAGGCTGTTGTTCATCTATCATTTTATTTATTAACACCTCAGTTGTCTCTAACATCGTCAAAAAATCTAGACCAGTTTTCACATAATGTATGCCTAATTATGAACAGTTAAGTTTTCTTGTATTTTAGAATTGTTAAACCAAAAAGGTTGAGAACATTGTGCTACCCTATGTAGCGATCAGATAACATAATTATTTATAAAGAAAAATTGTGCAAAAGGCTGCTTCTTTGTTAACTGTTCATCAGTTATAAATAACCCCAGAGCCGCTTGTTTATCTTTGTCTAAATGCCACACGACTGGAAGCCAAGCAAGGACTGTTAGGATGAGAATATCTTCTTGCAAAACATTTGTAACAAGTCGGCCACATATAGCCTTTCCTTTCACAGCCCAATTCTTACTGTTAAAATAAAAATTAAAAGAAGGCCTCCGAATTATCTAAGCATGATTTAAGCATTAATTAAGTGGAAGAAAACGTAGATTGGAAAGAGTACTTGCTCTATCATCTTTACACAATTAAAAAATTGCCTTTTGCATGCAGCCCAAAATGATTCATAAGCAATTTAGTTCTGGCTTTGTGCACTGCCATCAGTGGTCTAATGAAATAAAGGCATATAACAAAATATTATCTTGACCTTAGTATAGCAAAGGAGATGTTCTTTCAGCAGAAAATGAACTAAATTAAAAGCACATTGCAATAAACTTAACGTACATATCAATTCTGTAATCTGTAATTCTGTAGTCGGAGCTTGATTTCCTTTCCTACTATAGCACCGACGAATATCCATAGGAATTAGTAAAACTGATTAGGCTAATTAATAACGCCATACAAGTACAGTATCAATCGCTTGATTTTTAACGAGCAAGGAGCAACAGGAAGAACTAACTAACAATTACTCCTGCTTTCAGTTTCCCAGGAGATGCGACTGTGGAGACAGGGGCAAAGTTTAGCGCACAATAAAGGCAATAATTTCTTTGTCAAGGCTCGTTTTCTTCGTAGAAACTTCTCATATTTACCTGCAATTCTCTTCTTCACTGCTATTGCATATAAACAAAACAGGATTGTCGCAATCAACGAAACTCAGACACGGATTTTATGTTTGCAGGTCCAGAGGGCACGAAGTAAAATGTTATGCGCAGTAGATTATATTTTTAATTTGCTTTTCGCATTAAAATGCCTTCAACCAATGAAATAATTCGTATTTTCCGTTGCGTCCAGAGCCACTGGTCGGTTACAAATTAAGCCGAGTGGCTCTGGGGACGAGAATGAATCCAAGGTGGCGGCCAAGATGGCGACCATGCGTCACAGGCCTCCACCACCCATAAAATAACGTTTAATACTGTAACTTTACACCTTTGCAGGAGAGACGGGATCTGGGAAAAGTAGCTTAATAAATCTTATTCTCGGCGAGGAGCTTCTTCCATATTCTGTTTTAAGTACAACGTCTACTATATGCGAGCTTAAGTTCGGAAAGGAACGCAAAATCGTGGCTCATTTTAAAGACCAGGATCGGCCAGAAAAGATTATTCTGTTAAAGGAATCAACAGAACAGGGCTATCTTCAGCAAATTTCTCCTTACGTCCATGTGAAGACTGATAGAGAAAGGGGATCAATTTTCAAAAAAATCGAACTCTTTCGGCCTCACAGTCTCTTGGAGGTAAATTGATTGATATCTCAATCCTTGCACCTTAATTTTGTTACTATTTTAGAATCGTCGTCATTTATAATTTGGGTCAAGGAGTTGGCCAGTTGGTTTTCTCGTTTTTATGTTCATGGGAATTGGTTTTGGTTAGTTTAACTTCGACGGAAACTTCGTCGCCCATTATAGTTTTTCTACAATATACTTTGCCATTTGCTAAGTACACCTAATCTGGAAATAAATACTAAATAAACAAGTAAAAAAATAACTATAGGATGTTAAGTTGTAATCTGGGCCGGGTTGTTCAAAGCTGGGTTAAGATAACCCAGAGTTAGTGCAAAATTTGAATTCAGATATGAAAGCTTAAAAAGTAAATTCATTTTAATTCTTTTTGTCAACAAGTTAGTGATTGAATGCTCTTAAAAATAACAGAGAAAATTATCCGAAAAAATGCTTTTGAACGTACAAATTAAGAAAAAGAAACCCGGGTAAAATTTAACCCTGGGTTAGGCGCTAATCGGTCTTCAAACAACTGAGCCCTGAAGTTTATTTATACCCCTTTTAATCTCAATCTGGTGAAAAATAAATCCATCATTTGAAAAAAAAAAAGAAAGAATTTCCCATGACATGTTTAATTTGTATAGGTAAAAGCATGATTTGTAGTGATATTTGGCATAGATACCACGAGTGATATTTCGAAATTGTTATGCGTAATTTCACGAGCCGTTAGGCGATTGAAATTTGAGACAATTTTGAAATATCACAAGTGGTATTTATGCCAAATATCACGTACAAATCATGCTATTATTTGTTTATACTGCTACCCACAAAAGCTTTGTAATTTTCTCATGTAGGTATTTCAAATTAAGCTGAAATACCACTTCTCTAAGCCAATCAAATTGCAGAAATTTCTGATGTAGTAGTATAAACAGTAAAATGAGTTCTGTTGTACTCTTCCATTAAGTGGATTACTTAAATCAACTCAGTAATCGTAATCAACATTTTTTTTTCGTATGACTGCTTTTTTCATCTTTCACCATCCCAAAATACTGCAAAACTCTATGGAAAACGGTCTTGACAGCAAATCTCACCTACAGTACTGTTTAGACTATACTACTAGATAGAATTCTTTGCTCTGAAGTTGCTTGAAGTTTCTGAAAAATTGTCTTTGAGATTAATTTGAAAAACGCTTAGAACTGGGGTTTTAAATCGACTACAACAGTTTGCACAAGCTAAGTGTCAAGCCACCCTATTTTGAAGAGTAGCGAATGCGCATGACTAAAGATGGGGCTCACTCCTCGATCTCCCCAAAACAGATGGAGCATAATGCAATGCTTTATTGGGCCGGGTTCTGAATTAAATCGAGAATTCGCGCATACGTCATAAACCCCACATTTTCCACAGGATCTCGCGCGCGTTGCTAAAAGTTGAGTACTTTTTTTATCACCCCAGAGCATTAGCCTAAAAAACGTTGTTTACGTTGTCGTTTGTGCATTTTAGAAAGGAATTGTGATAATTGACAGCCCTGGAATTGGCGAGTCTGATATTATGGACGAGATAGTCACACGGTACCTTCCCCAAGCGTTTGCTTTCATTTATGTGATCAACAGTGCAAATGCAGGCGGAGTTCAGAAGGACAGGGTACGTATTGCCCAATATTCGCCAAATAATTTTCCGCGTTGAATATAGCAGAGTAAAGATGGACTCTTGCTCTTCAGACGCTAAGGTGAATAACAATTATATTAGTATACCTCTAGCGTACTAAAAAGTTATTTGATTCATTATTTATTATTATGAGAAGGAGAATTTTCAAATGATATAGTCTCCTAAGCAGTCGTTCTTTATCTAGTGGGGAGCGTTGCGTCGCGACAAAGCGAAACCTTTTACTATAATTAAAATTTCTTTCAGGATAATTTGCTGTAAAATAATTTGCATCTCATCTCTAGATAAGCCAGATAAGCCTCTCTACCAGTAACACTTTCAATAACTATCTCCTTACGACTTTCAGGTCTGGAGCTTCAACAAAAGTCTTTTTTCCCACTCTGAATTCATATTGCCACATCTTTCATCCAATCTACGTCATAACTGCAAAGATCTTGAGTGAAATTCTTGTTCCAAGAGCGAAGCTCAGTAAAATTTAACAGTTAACTGTTAGTGGCCATAAGGATGTAGAAGGCCTAAATGCAATAAACGACCCTAAATTTAATAAAGTCCTAAATGTAATAACGTTTTGTCCTAAATGTAATAAACTCTTAAGTTGCAAATTACATTAATTACTTAAATAAGCTTCGCCCTCCAATAAGCGCCACATTTGGGGGGATTTAATAAACGCCGCGGCGCTTATTCGTGTAAATACGGTACTAAGAGGTATTACTATGGTTTTAAGCTCCGCCCTCTAATAAGCGCCGGATTTTTTGAGAAAAAATTCAATAAGCTTTTTATACATTTCCTTAGGCGCACTGTATAACTTGACGTTTACAAATAAATTGCTTGTAAAGGGAAAAAAAAAAAAAACTTGTAAGCCTTAAAAAGTTTTTCATACTTCATTTTAGTTAAAGAAATTTACTGCAAAAATCGTGGACGAAGATCCTTTTGCTTGTCAACGTTGAATCTCTAGAAAAGAGATCTAATCAGCTAAAATGTTAAGAACAAACAACGAGAAGTCTAAGGGCCTGTTTACACGGAGGTGGGGGATCCAAGGTAGGTGAGGTAACCCGCTTTGGTGGGTAACCCGCCTGTCCACATAAACTCTCATTTTAATTTGATTACGTTCACATGATAGGTGGGGTGACCCGCCGCATGTTACCTCACCCATGTGGGGTCCCCCACCTCCATGTAAACAGGCCCTAAAGACTACTGCACAACTCATAACAACGTTTATAAATAACTAAGATATTACGCGCGCGCTTTGATTGGCCGAGAGATGTGTTTGCATGAGAGTATGTAAACATGTGTGGAGTCAACGTTTTGATCTTCGCGCGCTAATCACACAAGAACGAATTTTAAAATGTTTTTGAGTTGAAAACTCGACAAATTTACTTTATTTACCCATTCCCTCGTCAGATGAAACTTGGAAAATCTTTACAAACATGCTGTACCAATTTTTTTTCGCCTAAGGGAAAAACCCTTTTTTGGAAAGCATCTTTATTGCGAAACAAGAACTGATTACACGTACATCAAGCTTCGTATACAAGACTTCGCGACTGGTTAGAATTTCTCTTTTCATCAATAACCTGAACATAGAGTTTTTTCTTTTCTCTCGGGAAAGTTATTTTATAAAAGCAATAGAAAACTTTCTTCCTTTGTTTGCATAGCCTGATTCAAACACTCGAGGGTTTGGGAGAATTCTTGACAGTTATGCAAACACAAGACGAGGTCGAGAGTTTGCATAACTATCCCAAATTCTCCCAACCCCTCGAGTGTTTATATCAGGCTATGCAGACACAGGAAAAAAGTTTTCCAGTTGCTTAAATGTTGCTTTTTTAAAAAAACACTGTTACTTTGTCGTTAAGTTTCACAGTGCAAAAGGAAATGTACCGGATTTACGCGAATTAGCACCGCAGAGCTTATTAACTTTTTTCTCCAAAAATGCGGCGCTTATTTGAGAGCGGTGCTTAATAACATAGTAATACCGCTTAGTACCGTATTTACACGAATAAGCACCGTGGCGCTAATTGCCCCGCCCCCCAAATGCGGCGCTTATTTGAGGGCGGCACTTATTTGAGTAACTATTGTAATTGGCAACTTAAGAGTTTATCACATTTAGGGCAAATTGTTCTTACATTAAGGACTTTATTACATTTAGGAGTTTATTACATTTAGGGTGGTTTATTACATTTAGGCCTTCTACAAAGGAAATTAATGTGTCATTGTTGCTTTTGCAATTGCAGCTTGAGAAATTATTAGAGGAAGTCAGAAACATCTCTCTTGAAAGACAGGGCGAATTGCCGTCCAAGTGTGCTTTGTTTGTGTGTAACAAATGGGACCAAGTCCCAGGGAAAGAAGTAAACGAGGTTAAGAATCATGTCATCAAAAAACTTGTAAGATGCTGGCCTGGCGTTGAACCTGAATCACAGATCATACATATGTCAACAACGAAAGCCAGTAAAGCTCAGGGGCATGGTTACATTACAAATGAATTTTCCAATTTGATGAATGGCTTGAGTCTCATGGTGTTGAAGAGTATTGGATCCAGGCTGGAAATTCACTGGAAGTAAGCATCAGTGTATTTTCTGATAAACGTATTCCAAGTTAAGGGGGCAAATTACCATTTTGTAGTGTCCTAGCCTATTATTGTATTAGGGAAATGGGTGAAATATGTCACAAAACTAAGTCATACCCCTCTCTCATTAAGCAAAAATTAATTTCAACCCCTCCTCTCACATAATAAATATTAAGGCTAACCCCCACCCCCTCCCTCCCCCCTTGAAAAAAAAGTCTCCTCTCATTGATTCCCTAATACCTAGTTTACTTGTTGGATTTCTCCCTCCGGTACAAACATCACTTTAAATGACTCTTCGACGTATGTCGAAGACTCATTTGAAGAGTTATCAGAATCACTGGACTCTCAGAGCTTGTGTCGTCTTTGCATGAATTGGGAGATTCCTCATTTTCTGCAGCATCTCTGGCACTAAGGCTCCCGCGTGCATGGGTAAGAACTCAGGAATTCCTGTCTGATTTTTTTTGAAGCTCAATCTAATCATACTGTGGTTTATTTACCATACTTTAAAGTTGTATTGCTATTAAAATTTCAACAGTTCGGTTTTTCTTTCCGAAATTATGGTGCCATATGAGCTAACATTGGCATCTTTCTTTTTCATTGAATGACATTTAAGTGCTACTTTTGCAACTTTTAATTAAAGTTTCCCGTTTTATTAAATCCTAGTGCAAATAAAGTAGCACTGTTTTAACATATGTACCAGAGGCATTTCTTTCCTACTACATGACAGATAGGAAAACATCAGTTCATAGGTCAGAACACCTTAGAGTTGATAAATTTGTCAGTTTTATTCCAATGTTAGTATTTATATTTGAACTCTAATAACTCTTCCACTACTTTTCTAGTTTTCAAAAAGGAATGAAAAAGTAATGCCCCCCTGTATGTATTAAATTTTACATCCAACCCCGCTTCTCTTGTTGTCATTTTCTCCTATGCCCCGCCTCTAATTTTCCAACCCCCCACCCCCACCCCTCTCCAGGTAATTATTGCACTGTCCCTTATTGCAGCAAATGAATAGAGACAGACTACCTATTAAAATAAATGCAAATATGTACATAATTAACATAAAATTAATGTATTTTTACTTAGATTTTCTTACTATCAATTCAATTTTTTTTCTTGTTTTGTTGTGCTTACCCGCGTGTTACCCCAAAATTCCATTTTCAGATCTTGACCAACGTCTCATATTTTCAGGCTT